AAATTACTACAGAGCACTACAAATTACTATCACAGGCACTAAATAAAACCAACAGAACTGTATAACATTTCACTTATTAAATATAACGTAGAGAATGAAACAGTCATCGTTTACACTTAAAATATTTTTGGTTTTCTTTCGGTTTATGTGGTTGTTAATTTTAAAGATTTTTTGGTTCGCCGTGAAGCCATCACGGCGAGGGTTGAAGACAGGCCGCGGAAGTGCACGACTGCCGCCGACTATGGCCGAATGCAAATACAGAACAGGGCCGCACTTGCAATCTTCTAAATAAAAAAATAGAAATTGCACTCGATCCGACACGAGATCCGTTCAGCCGTTTAGGTTACAAACTCTAATAAACATCCATCCGTCTAAACTTTCCCATTTATAATATTACTAAGATAAGCGAAAACAGAAATTACTCGAAATAACTAAATTCTCCAGTATTCTAATCGATAACCCGACTCTGTCCATCCCCGCATTACGACCGTAGCCTTACCGTGACGCCATGTTTTTCACGCATGCGCTTTAATTTTCCACCATAGAACATCACTGAACTTTTTACATGTTTTCCCATAGTAACTTTTAGTGTTGCTACATAGAAATATATTTCAATTTTTCATGAATTAATTCTTTAAGACTACGATGTACAAGTTTTGCCAATTACATTGAAATTAAATATATTTTTCTAAAATCAAAGGTGTAACTTTACGTTTATTCGTTATTTGCGTGCGCAGTTCAGTGCCCATGTCCTACTCTAAGCACATTGACAGTGCAGGGGTGTTGGGGAGGGGAGAGGGATCGATAGAGTGACGTCATATCAGTGACGGTCGGTTAGGCTGGAACAACAGGCTCACGCTCTCATGAAAAGATATTCATTTGTGTGGAAATATAAGCTTTTATTTTGTAAACTGTTTATGAATGAAGTTTCATATTATAATGAAAAATCAATATAGTGCAAATTAATATGTAATGATAGTTAAAATAGTATAACTACTTCTTATGATTAAAACATTATGGTTTAAGTCAATGAGATCTAACATTAACCGTCTCTTGGAAAGCAAGATTTTGCTAAATAGTTTTGCTATAGTTATCTTACTTCTAGTAGTATTTGTTAATATTTGTCACAAACAAACAAGACGTCGCTTGGATTTTTCATTCAATGCCTGAATAGAGTCCAATTATATCTTGGCCTAAATAATAAGAGCCTTATGAGAAATATTCAAATTTTTGTTCAGAGATATTCTGAATATGAGATTCTACTAACTTGTTCTATAAACATCAGTTATGTCTACAGTTTTAAACAATTTATTTAATTGATACTATCGTTTTTAAACTCAGATCAACACTTTTCGTCAGGGCTCAGGATCGCGCGCGCATGTCAATTCTTCTAATGACATTGACAGCTGTCAGCTAGGGACGTGACGTTTATGCCGACAATCTAGTGTTGAATTATTTCTAGAACACGTTACTTATTTTCTTCTTAACAATAGGTACTTCTCCCGACTACAAAAGCAGCTGATCAAAATATTAGTCTACCAATGACCAATTTTTGGATCAGCTCTAGATAAAAATTAGATATCTCTAGATAAAAATTTAAAAACGATAACTTAAAGTCATTTCTTTGTATCATTTGTATTTTTGGGTCAATTTTATCAATTTAATTTTGTATAAAAAGTGACAACATTATATCAATTGGAGCGCAGTACGTGTAGCCAAGGCCGGTGACTTGCCCCATAAGGCGCAGGCATTCAATGGTAATGACTGACGGTGAGCATGCACGACGCTCCAACCAACAAAACTTTGACGTAATAAACCAAAGATGTTGGTTATACGTTGATTTAGGTTTAGATTATCAAACGGATATTTGAGACTATTATATATGATGATATATAATAGTCTCAAATATTATATATTATATATGATTATATATGATATTTGAGATATTCTTTCATCGCGAATAGTAAAAGAATTAAATACCCTACCCACTTAGGATGCGATATCAAAAGAATGTAAAAAAAACCTATAATTCAGCAAATATGTTATGAAATTGCTTTGGAATTAATAGGATATAAACATCCCCAGTTATTGTCATGTTAAGTAAACGTTTTTAGTTTTACATTTAAATGAAAGAATGATAATATTACTGTTAAGTTTGTTTTATCGGTCATAAGTAAAACTTACTTTAGTGAAATCAAATCCAAACACTTAAACGTAATAACAAACAAATACACAATAATTTCACTTTCAATGTTTTCTTTTAATAAACTTAGAACACAGACTATAGCAGCAAATATTTCCGGACGACTGAATTAAGAACGTGCTGAAAGACTTTGAAATTCATTGGGTTAATTTTTCTCGCGAAAAACTTCCGTAATTTCATGGTAATAGAGATTAGTTTACAAAAACGTGACCGCGTCTACAAACTGGCAGACGTAAACTCGTTTTGTACAAACTGATAGCAATAATTAATACGAATGAACAATTGTTAATTGAGTTTAACCTACACGTTGTATCCAGTGAATACAACAGACAAACCTTGGTACAAATTCCTACCGATAAATAAAATAAAAACAAAAATAAAGAATGTGCAGTAATCAAATCTTAAAAAATGACCAAAAAATGTATTAGTTAATTACAACCGAAACATAACTAAAAAGTTTTTATAAAAACATTATTCAAATTTCACGTCAATTTTAAACCACAATACACATCACTCAAATTCAAAAATGAAACACAACACTGGGTAATTAATAAACAAATTGAGTTAGTTTGTTGTTGGAGAAATTACTAAGACGAGGAATTAAGATCAATTCGTAATTACTCGATCACGTAATGCGTAGCGATTCGCGCGTACCGACCACCAAACAAGATTCTCAACTGTTTTATTTTAGAGCTCATTCGCGGCGCCGGCCGTGAAAACTGTACAAAGGTGCACAAGTATATACCACGTTGAGACACCGCTGACAAAACTACAATGTCGTTCGTTGACTGCGATTGAATGCTCCATATATATCACTAGTTCCTTACCTATTACCGCTTTGTTATATTGACAACTGAACAGAACAATTATTCACGGAAATTGTAACAATGTTGTGTGATGAATGACCACTCATTACCTTTATCTTTGTCTTGTAAACGCAGAATATGGAGTTGTGAGTTTTATGCTCTGTTTCATTGATTTTTATAAATATAAACCTATTGGTTACCAATTATAAGCTATAATGTTGGAGTTTTTATATGTTTTGTTACTGGCAGGCAACACTTTACACAGTTAGGATGATTTTTGTATTGGAACAATGCCTTTAAATTTTACAAGAAATCTTATAATAATAATAAAATACATTCTGAACTCAAAATCTGAATAATCAACGACAAACCAGCTTCACCAAGGATCCAGCTTGTTACTGTGATCACATCTAATTTACGCCGATAATAGTTCGTTCGTCTATAAAAACTTTTAGAAGACTTTTAATGTCAGTTTTTTACAATAGAGAAGTGCAATGTCCTCTACGAGATGCAGAAACTGACACGATTGATTCTGATTTACAATATATTTTGACGTCGCAGACAATTGGCGGGTTTATGTAATTTGAAGCGGGAAAAAATTGAATAGAATAAATAATATTACTAGATGATTTATATGGCAGAAAGTTTTATTATTTGATTTGGTCTTTTAATGTAAAAAAAGAAAGATCAATAAAAAACTCCAGTAAGAGTCCAGCCCTGTCATATTAACATTTGATAGTTTTTATTGGAGTTTAATGATGCAATTAAGTTGAAATTTGATGCTAACTTAAACAGATAACAATCCATGTAGTATAATATGTCTCCAATACAACTTACATTTAAAAACAAATAGATATAGACCTAATTAAATCAGGTAAAATAATCTTTTAATCTAAAATGGAAATACCAGTTGCAATTAAAAACACAAAAGTCAATGCACTATTAGTGATGAGTCAGCTAAATGCAACATTATTCTCATAATTTCAAATCATAACCGTGGGTTTCCACTACCGAATAATCTTTACAAAAACATTACATTGTCTAATAACCGGAAGGAATAAGATGGCAACATTGTGTTACAATTTAAAGACAATGGTAACATTATATGACAAAATTCACACGAAACACAAATAACTAACATATTTATTTAAAACTCTAATCTATTATCACACTAAGGCAAATATTAGTGAGCAAATTAATTTAATAATTATCATAGACTAAACAAAACATGTTTATCGTGTGGCTCGCTAGGAGGCGCTGGCGCGAGTGTGATGTGTATCACGTCCTCACTTGCAGTCATTACTAGCAAAAGATAACGTTTGTAATCGATCAGATATAAAGTAATATAAAGGGAACTAACCGGTCTTAAGGACAAATAAATGTACTAAATATAAATACAAACATGACCTTGTTCCTTTTTATCGATATAGGTAGTTAGTTTAAATTATAACGATAATCAACAAATTCAAACATGAATTATATACCATAATGTATTATTGTTAAAATAACTAAGGAGCTGTCCCACCAAATTGTAAATTGTCTGATAACAATCCAACGTGTAAAATATGTGATGGAAATATCGGATTATGTTCCCTTATTTGACTGTGACGCAATTTTAAGCTATCTGAGTCTCTATCGGCCAGTGGTAAGACAGGCCCTAAAAGTTATTAGATTTTTTACACAGTCTACCCACTTAATAAATACTTCCTCTCATTTTATTTTAAAATAGTTTCCATTTATAATTATTGAACATTTCAAACAAAAAGATTAAGCGTTGGAGTTCTTACTAGTCATCGGTACTTTAACGTGTCTGTCTGTATATATTCCATTGCCAATTGATGTAATCAAATCAAATTGATCGTGTCAAATTGGTTATGATTCTGGTTTTATTGCAAGCTTCATTCTCACTGTAATGTTCACAATTGTATATATGTTTTAGGATTAAATATTCCTTTAGAAAATGATATTGTTTTCAATATTTGAAGAGCAAACACGATGCTATCTTATCTCTACATCCACATTAGTAGGAGCAACTCGTTGCTGACTGCACGCATGTGTCTGATATTAAATGTGTTGTGAAAACTGTGCCTATTCAAATAGTGTGTGTTTGTGAATAATAATAATGCAATAACTATTAAACTGTTACTAATAATAATTCCACCATGACTGAAGGTACGGTCGATATACATGAATTAGAAAAATTAAGGTTTGTTCCCATTTTATTTACCGTTGTTTTAATTGTTAGTCAAATGGATTGTATGTATAATTATATAAAAATGTAAGTCAATAATCGATTTTTCTGTCTGGAATAATGTAGAAGTTAGGTTAACTTTAATGTTAGAATATAACTTTTGGTAGTTACTACAGATCGGATGTATAAACTGTAATGACTCTCTGAAATTAAAAAATCTCTATTTCCGGAATTCAATCCAGTTTCAGGGTACGTGAATTTTAGGACAAAACATTTATCTGCAATTTGCATTTACACATATATATACTTTTATTATAATATCATAAAGAGGAAAATTTTTGTATGTATTGAAATAACTCAAAAACTACTGTACCAATTTCAAAAATTCTTTCACCGTTAGAAAGGTAATTTATCTGTGAGTAACATAGGCTATGTTTTTTTTAACAATTTTCTATTTCACGCGGGCGAAGTCGCGAGCAACAGCTAGTGTTAAATAATTTAGTTTAATAATAATTGTTATCCCTTTTCAGACCCAACACAGACTCGAATAAAGATGTAGTTAACAATACACAACCGGCCAATGTTGAATCAGTTCAAAAATGGAGCATAATACTAGAGCCGGCGTTGGCCGGCGCTATGATGGCTATAAATCTGGGACAGACTTCTTTGCAGAACTTCTATTTAAGGACAGCCTGCACTGTCGACTTAGGATACTCGCTAGATGTATGCAACAGAGGCGTAGGTGAAGAATTTAGAACTGCTGAGGTAAGTTTTCATTCAAGAAATTGAGAAAACTCTCATAATGGTCGTAAAAATTTGTTACAATTTTCTTAATTTTTTAATAAGTATTAACAGACTTGTCCAATTAAATCTATAACTATAATAAGACCCCTCTTAATAGTTATTCATCATACGACTCGAATGCGGCTGATAATATTTTAATTATTTATCCATAGGAGATAATAAACCAAAAAGCCTGAAGGTATACGAAAATGTTGTTTTTATTACAATCTTAGTAATATTATAAATGCGAAATTATAGTAGGATGGATGGATGTTTCTTACAGTTTGTAGCCTAAACTGATTAACTTGATGAAATTTGCCATAGATGTATATGATAGTCTGGAAGAACACAGAGGCTACTTGCTTTTGTTTTTTTTTTAATTCGCGGGCGAAAGCCGGTTTCACATATTTGAATGTATTACTTCCAGGCAGCCAGTCAAATGGTAGTATCAGGCGTGAATATTAGTCGAAGTTTCGTGGGTTGTCTTCTTTCGACTATTGTCCTATTATTCGTGGGACCGTGGAGCGACTGCAGTGGTAGACGGAAGCCGTTACTCATCATGCCTCTTGTGGGGATGTGTGTGATGACGACAGGAGTTCTTCTGATGCTGACCTTCCCTGGTGCTTCGACTGTGCAAGTGTTGTACGTAGTGCAAATTCCGATGTCACTGGGCGGCAATTTTGGATTACTTCTAGCTGCTTCGTTTAGTCATGTTGGTGATGTGAGTGCTGATTTGTTTTATTAGTAAAAAAAACTCTTTGTTAATAAATTATGGAGATATAAAATAATTACCCATTTGAACTACTTAGATAAAAAAACGGCTATTTACAAACATGTTGAGGTTTTTTTTCTATATCAATCTTAAGTGCAATATCTGAAGTTTATCAGTAGGATAAAAATAAAATAATATCTACATAAAGTCACTAAGTTTCGTATATCACTTCGACACATTATCATTAATGAAATTTATCATAACCAGAAATCGAACATTGTACCCTCTACATCGTCATAGGAGTTCTTACATCTCTGGTTACAAGGTCGATGAGTCATAAAAATAATGAAGATCGATAAACTTTTAAGTTTATACCGTTATGTATCGCAATGAAGAGTTTCCGCTCAATAGACCCGACTACGTGTGTGATATAACAACGTATGTAAACATATACATAGAGCGCTACTCATGTACATGTATTCAATCAATTGTGCACATCGTGCTGATTTTACGAGTCAATGACATTGTCCTTAATAACCCATGTGTAGTTCGGAATTTCCAAAACATTAACATGTATGAAAGCCTACGCTTTGACATGATTTTGTTAAAAATTATTACAGATTACCATAGTTTAAATTGATGATTATATGCACCACTAAAGATTTACATATCCTTGCTAAATACCGCTCGATTGTAATGATTGGCCCCATAGTTGACGGTTATAGTATAAAACATAACTGAAGACCGCAATATAAGGAAATGTTTCAGTTTTACGCAACTAATCGCATACGTTACTAGCGACATAGATAAAACCAATTAATCGATGTTCGTATCGCAATTACCTTTTCATCATGCTATGTTATAAAATTCAATATAGTTATAACTAAATTTAATTAAAACTATCGAAATTATGTATGAAAGTATACGATGAAATACGGAATACTTATTTAAATGCACGAATAGCTAAAAATAAAAGTTTCATTTTACAACTGTACACATTGTAAACTGAAGGTGTCCTATATTTTAGTAAAATGACGACTCTGTCGATATGAATTGAAGTGTACTGGTTATTGAGAAGTAGAACATTTCGTTGTTACATAAATAAAATATATATTCGTTTTGGCACGGACTTAGTAGAAGATATGCTTGTTCTTTGTCATGCAAGGGAGTGATATTAGTAAGCGAATATGCCGCTCTTATACAAAGTTCATTTTAAGAATTCCATTAAGAGATACTTATTATCTTTTTAGCTCTATAGTAGTCTATACTAGGAATTATTTTAGTTTTAATGTGATGGTATTTATGTTCCAGATATGTCATGCGAGCGGTCGTGACGTAACGCGGACGATGGGCAGTCACCGGGCCGCTATCCAGATCGCGCATGTTCTTGGTGCAGTTTGCGGACCCTTGCTCTACCGACAGCTCGGTTTCTACGGAGTATTCCCACTTGTATTGTTACTACAGGTATACAACATTTACTATGTATAACCCAAATATAATTTCTTAGTTTCAAATGCAACGAATGAACAACTAGTTTCATATAAGGCGGACTTTCTTAAGTAAAGATGTTTGTTATGCATTTTACGTAATGTATCTTGGGTTAATATGTTATCTATATTTATTTGTATGATGTGAGGGCTTGTTGTTTATATATCCGGATAGAGCAGACCGATGCCGATAGTTGTCAGTAAATGGATTAATCTCTAAATAGAAGATAGGAAGGTTTAAGTGGCTATGACTAAGTTGACTACATCTTTAAAAACGATATGTATCTCTGATTTCCATTTATTCGATCTAACTATAAAATCTCTTATCTGTATTTTGTAAAGTTTTTCGTGTTCTGCTTTTTATTTTTTTCCGAGTAAAATCAGTATGTTTATGTAATTTAGTACAAGACTATATGTTTAACCTACATTTATGTAACAGCTGACTTAGACACTGAAATTGTTTTCGAATATGGCTTGCACATTAGAATTGCAGATTTCCTTAATTTAATTCACAAGAAACTAGTGTAGTTACTTCCTTATAAGCCAAGGTTGTTAAGAAATATACGAAAGTGTTTTGACTTATCACTCAATCAGAAAAGTAAATCTTAATAATCTTACTCTTACTAATATTATAAATGCGAAAGTTTAGATGGATGGATGTTTGTTAGAGTTTGCAGCCTAAACGGCTGAACGGATCTCGATGAAATTTGACACATACGTACATAGAGCATAGTCTGGAAGAACACATAGGCTACTCAATTTTGATTTTTTGTATTTCCACGCGGACGGAGTCGCGGGCGAAAGCTAGTACTAAAATTTAATTGTAATTCTGTTCTATAAAACTTTTAAGTGTCGCAATAAGAAATACTATAATTTTTCATTAATACATAGAAATTATATTATTGTATTATTAAATTAAAATAATGTGTTTTCATTTTTCAGTTCGCATCGTTGGTGTACGTAATAGTAGTTATAAAAGACGTGAATGTGAATAACGATAACAAAGTGTCGGTATTCAATTGGCGACTGCCGCTGAACGCCTTCCAGTGCCTTGTGCGGAGACGGGACGGCTACAAAAGGACTATCATACTGCTCATGCTGATCGTGGCCCTCGGTGACCGCATGCTGCTCTCTGGTAAACTGTCATTCTTTTGCTCATTCACTCATTCCTCGGACCAGTTGCTCTGTGCTAGAATCGACATCTACCCTCCGATTCGCCAGTCATCATCAAAAAACTTTCTGATGTAAAAAGGAGCGCTGTCAACGGACACGTAATAGCGACATTACTCATAAATATCTCAATATAAATAAAATTTCGATGACTTGCATAAAATGCTTGTAAGAAAACAAAATAGATATGAAGTTAAACAAATGACGTTCATTGCAAAAATGATATCGTTCATTTGTTAATTTGTTTCGCCATTATGGAATTGCGATATGGAAATAATATGGGCCTTGTTTGTTTAAAAATTATGACAAAGGGGTGCTTCTCACTAGTTAAATGACCGCTATTTGTTCTGTGGAAAACAAACTCCATTCATTGCTTTAAGATCATAGGTTACTGTAAATGTGCGATACGTAACTAGCTCTTCATGCATAAATGATTTTTTTTTCTACTCCTACTTAAGTCTCTCTGCGTAGTCTAATAATACTATGCTGTTGGCGTTAAAATTTAGCAGAATACATAAAATGTAATTAATGAAAAACGAAAATACTTTTAGTGAAATACACTTTACATAAATTATGATGTTTGTAATATCTCTTATATAATTAACCTAAACATTAAGGGTAAGTTGCATCAAATCGCTGGTTATCGTAAAAGTTATAATAGGGTTACAAGTGCAAAAACATATTCTCACAGAGGTTTTATGTGTT